TCTTCTTTTTTTTGTAGCCTTTGGTGAGACAGTCAGGATTTGATTAAAGTCGAAGCATTTTTATATGAGATATTCTCATTATTACCAAACTATATAGCATGACCAAAACCAACAAAACCTCAAGGTAACATCGCAACTTAACAACCACAAAATGTTTTATTTTTGATGTCATGAAGTTAATTAAACTCCTTTCACTTCAGTGACCGCATCGCTATGGGGTATGTATTAGTGTCTGTGTGAATGGATGGATTCACTCGAGGGTTAATGAGATAGACACACGCACACGCATAAACACACACACCCATGTCACATTTGTTAAAGCATTCACCTTAAAGTAATTTCAAGTCAAAGCAGTTTGTTAGCTTTTTAATTTTTAAATGTAACTTGGTAATTTCATGACCCAAACATGAAGGTTTTACATTTTTCTAAAAATCAGATGATCTCAAAACAAAGACCAGTTCTTTCAAAGTCAGGCGATGCACCTTTTTTTGGCAGAGTGATTGTGAGTAGCAATGGAGCAGAAAATAATAATGAGTTCATCAAGGGGTAAAGGTTATTTTTAATTACACATGATTTTAGTAAATTAGTTAAGCAGATAGACCTTATGCATGTCCTGGGAATTACCTTGTTGATGGACATCCAGAATGTTTATAAATAAATTAACAATATGGTGTGCAACACCTGAAAAGCAAATGTTAAAAACTGAAATATACATAAGTATTAATTATTTACAGTAAATGCCAAACAACAGGATCATTAAATTTCCCTCTTTAGCCATCAGATTTTCATGGAGCTTCTGTGCTCTTTGACAAACACCACATTTTTCCATCCCAGATAAAAAAAGTTCTGACTATTTACATTCATATTTATGATCTGGTCATCTGGTCTGCATACTATATTTATGGGGGGGAGTATTATGCAGGGCTGAAGAGGTTTTTTTTTTTACATGTCTGCAGCAACACACACACACACTTTGTCATATACAGTTTGCGCACATTGTGAGGCTTGAATATGTTAGCAAATCCCTTCTTCTCTTCAAGTTTCAATAATTTACTTTTGTCCCTACATATTTTATAACTTCAATCTCAATTGAACCTGGATCTATCAAAACGTATTAAAATTCAAGCAGGCTGAACGAATCCTTTCCATCTTTGTCGACGTCCTCCTTAAAAAATTAATATGCAAACAAAGAGAAGAAGAAGATTACCTTTTTTATAGTCTAACTGACCTGGGTACAGGTGATGCAAACACGGCTGGAGTGCTTGGTTTAAAAGGTGCAGCCATGGTTCACAGTTTATAACAGAAGAGATGCTAAATTTAAAACACACACACACACACTGGCCAAGCCTTTAAACAAATGATGAAAGACCATCTGTTTGTCACTCAACGTAACAGCACCCCTAATCAGCCAAGTCTCAGTAGAATTTAAAGAAAAGTGTAACAGAGATTCAGCATGGTTGTTCGCAAGAAGATCCTGAATTTCAACCCACTGACCTGCTGGGGCCTTTCTGTGTGGAATTTCTATGTTCTATGTGTTCCTGAGTGGGTTCTCTCCAGGAATCTGGCTTCCTCCCACAGTCCATGCATGTTAGCATTAATGGTGAACTGGTCTTAGGTGTGAATGGTTCTTTGTCTAGCAACCTGTCAAGAGTGCACCTTGCTGCATGACCCACAGAAAATGACCTGATGAATGCACTCGATTTGGAGCCAGCCTCAAGTGGTTATTTGAGGAACTGCAGTCTTTAGCACTTCCGCGCTACCTTCACTTTTCAATTGCAGAGGTTTTCACTGGTGCAGAACAAATTAAATTTCACAAAACTGATTTTTGTGAAATTTAATTTATGACCAGGCTGAATGTTGCAAAATGTTTTTGTAGACATGGAATCACTGAATATAAAACAAATAATGAAGCAGTCTAAAAGTTTCAGATGTTCAATTTTACTGATGAGTAATAATTATGAAATATGTTGTTATTTGGTGCTTCGGTTTCCAAATGTGTCTTGTCATTTTCAGGTTACATTCATTCACATTTCCTGAACAGCAGATGAGTGTGTGTCATTTTATCTATCTTAGCATTGATTACTTTGCGTCCAAACAGCAAGTTGCCTTCATTTGCGGCTATAAGAACAGTAGACTTTAGTACTATTTTGACATGCTGAATAACGAGAAAAACAATATTTCTCTCAATGGAGGTTGGAACTTTTAGAGATGGCAACAATAACATGAACCAAAATTTTGTATTTACACAGGAGCTTGGAAGGTTGTGTCCGCCCTTGAAAAAAAAGTAACTTTTTTTTGGAGTGGGGCAGAAGTCAAACTTTCGGGTTATTATCTCTTTGTTTTTTTCATGGCGGAAAGATGCTTCCCTACTAAAGTGACTGTTTTTTAAAAAGGGAACGATAAACACAATGGAAAATATATTCGAGAACTAGCTGCTTCTCCCATTTCAATATTAAAATGAAGCAGAAGAGAACAAGATCAGTGTTTGCTGTGTTGGTGTACCCGAGAACATCGACTAGGATAATAAAAACACACCTTAGTGAGGAACATTTGACAAATTTTAAACAAAACAGCTGATACAATCACCACAAAGATTTTTTTTTTTTTTAAATCAGGGATTGAGTTATGATATATTTTCATCTCTTACAGTGTATTTGTTTAATTTAGGTGTAACAAAACTGGTATTAATCTGCTGTGTTGTTTCCAAATGATGCTTATGATTCATCTCATTCTCATTAAAGAAACAGCTGGACAATGTAGGAAGGATTCTGTTCTTTTTTTAATAATCAGAGTGTGTATGATAAGGGTTGTTTAACAATTTGCCAACACAGACACACACAAACACACTACATAAACTGCTTATGCCCGTACACAGTTGGCACACTACAGTATCACGGTTTACACATGTATTCAATGAATGAACACATTTTCAATAAACTTGAGTGAATTTCATACTCATGCATGTGTGCACTCCTACTGTACACACACACACACAACCTGTCTCCCTCACTGACTACCACTGAGCCCTCCCTGCTCCACTTTTTTTGTATCTGTCATCCAGGAGCATGTCAGTGTTTAACCCCCTCCCACGCTGTGACACACACACACATATGCACACATGCAGCCATTTTCCTTTACAAAAAAAAAACTGCACAAAGTCACTCAAACATTTTTTTTTACCCTTCTTTCTGTGTTAAAACACACATACACAAACCAGGACACTAGTTTAGACAGACACAGACAGCTGGAGCAGGTATTATAAGTACCTTTCCATTCCTTCTCTTTCCCTTGTTATGCCATTACTGAAGCTGATAGAGTCGGAGCTGTCGTTTTCAGCTTGTGTGTGTGGCCACGTATATGTGTGTGCGTGTGTTGAGAGGTGTCACAGGCTCGCTGCATATTTGCTTTTGGCTCGCAGAAATCATTTAGTTGTCCGGTCAAAAAGGGCATCTGCCATCCAGCCACTCTCCTCTTCTCTGCAGGAGAGCACTCACAACAGTTTAAGAGGCTGCGGGGTTTCTTCCTTCCTCATGACTGCATCCAGCATTTAGGCTGCTCTTGGATATTTAAATACTAGAGTGTTGCAACCGTAGCTCAAAATAAGAAGGTTTAAAAATTTTAAGCCTAAACTTGCACTTTCCTTGTGAGTTGGGCTGAGGAGATGCTCAGGCTTTTTTTTTTAATCCCCTGTGGTGTTTATGGAAGAAATAGTGATGTGGTCTAGCAAGTGGCGAAACTAGAGTGTCAGCTGCAGTCAGCGATTATCTCTCAGTAATCACTGCTCTGTTATATTTCAAAGTATCAAGTCATGTGTTTTCTTTGTCCTTTTGTTGTGTCAGGGTGTGTAAGATATATTTATGTTGCAAAGATGTGAAGAAAACAAATCAACTCTACTCTGCAGGTGATTGAAAAAATAAATAACACGAATCTTTCTCTATGCATTCACACTTAAAAAGTCAACATGTCCTTGGTGTGTCCTTCAAATCCTTCACTTTGACACATCCAAAATGTGTTAATTTTCACAGTTGAATGTTGGTTAAGGTAACATAAAATGCTTTGGACCATGATGAAAATGGCAGGCATCTCACATGTGTAATAGCTTTATGGGGCATGTGATAGTCTGCATGAAAGGGGGCCAAAGTGCCTGCAATAAGGACAAGTGCTTGGCCAATTTGCAGCGTGTTTATTTATGTGTGTGGGTGTAAGAGTAAATATCAGTACACCTTCCTAAACCAAGACTGGCCATAGAACAATGAAATAAGCCCACAGTTGTCTGGGGGAATTAAAAATGCGCTATGCGTAAAAGAATTAGCGGAACATATATGATAAGGACGCAGAAACATGGCACTAGACAGATTAGGAATAAGACGCACAGGAGCCAGTGGAGATAATCCCGTTATCTCGTTGAACGTAAAATGCCAATGTGAAGCATCCTCGGAGATCAGGATGAACTGAACATGAACTAATGCTGCGGATATACGGCAGGAGGAGTGGGGGCAATCAATACTGGGAAACTGAGGTAAACACTGTTATTCCTGACCTTAAGGAACATCCACGCAGTTTACCGCAATGTCACTGACGGTCTCCGTATTCCACTCATTGCGATCTCATACACGCGCGCACGCTCCGTGTTCCGTTTGACACCAGTTCGATGTCCCCCCCCGCTAATGACATTGTTTCACCTTTGAGAATTCCCCATCAGTACCAAGAGCGCGTCTCCAATACATAAGAGATTATTGATGAATGGTCGCTGTCAAGTTGAGGAGAAAGGAAGCCGGGGTTCTGCTCATTAAAGGCTCGGGATAACCGGGTGCCTGTGGAGACGCACGCCGGTCATCACCTTTTAACCAGAGCGCATTTAACATTACGCGCGACAGGAATGCGCGCGTGTACACACGCAGACACGGACACAAGAGATACACAGATAACCACGAATTAAAAAAGCAAAAATACAACACGAGTATAACTCAAATGACAAAAAGGAAGACAAGCAGACTTACAAAATGACCCTGGGCTCTGTTGGTTCCTCTGTGCGACCCATTGTGATATTTCCGTTACTCCGTTTTAACGGAATCCTCAAATGCCGTGGTCGCAGTCCACGTCTCTGCAAATGTACCAAAGGATCACATAGAGAATGAGGAGAATGGCGAAGATGAAGAGCGCTACTAGGATGGCCTTGGTCACCGGAGAGATGAACGACTGCATGTCAGGAGCAGAGCCGGGCAGAGCGGCGTGGAGCTCCGCGTCCGTCCGTACTCAGTCTGCTATCTCTCTCGCTCTCCTCCTCTCCTCTCCGCCGCTCCGGTGGCAACTGTTGAGGATGGAGCCTGGGGCTTTGCCGTGCTCAAGTACACACATTTATAACCTGACGCGCATGCACACGCACTCCGCCACGCGAATAGCCTCTCTACCGGCGATCCGGGCGCGCAACGCGTGGGGGCTTCCCTTGCTAGAAGCGGCACAGCAGTGGGTTGTATTTCCCCGGATCCACACTCCCTCACTGCCTGTCGCACATCAGAAGACGCAGCGACAGGTGAGACTGGACTGATAACACCCGCGCTTCCTGCAAAGAGGACGGCAAAAAACAACAACAAAAAAAACACTTGAAATTCACCAATACAATACAATAAAATAAAAGCCCGCACAGATGTTTCCAGACACAGAATGGAAAAGTGCTAAGTTGCGCGTCGAGCTGCTGCACTTGTCGGCAAACAGGTTGATTAGTATTCCTCACAGCGGCGTGTGTGAGTGTGCATGCGTATGTGTGAGATGGCTGGGGATGACAGGCTATCATCTTATCACGACCCTTCGAACCCCCCTTTTTGGCCAAGCTGTCAGTCCAAGGATTAAAATATAATTCTACATTTTTAATGTTTCCATTTCCACCTGATGCGCGCTTTATTCCTATTTTGTTGTATTACTAATCAGACTAGCCTAAGCGGTTGGTACCTCTTGCGCATCTTTTTATAAGTATTAATCCTATAATAAAAAGAAGATGGTGTGCAAATGCCATCAAAAACTCTTGTCACGTATACTCCATCTGGGCTAATTAAGACAAGGTCGTAACTGATAAGGCTAGAGGATATGCGCCTTTCCTCACATAAAATGCAAGATATCCATGTTTAAACCTATATGACCGATATACGTTAAGAGTCTGTTTTATTCAGAAAATACAAACACTACATGACAGAAGAGATGACTGCATTAAACAGCTTTTTAATGTGAGCAACAGTTAATAACCCCCGAAAAAGGTCGTGTATTTCTGCATGATATTCCTATCATATCAGCACGGTTACCCACCACCCAAGCGATTCAAAGACATTAAATCACTGAAAAAAACGCGCGCTTATTTTAAGTTGCCATTTCCAAAAACGGTGCAAAACAATAATGGGATCAAAGTCTAGAAATAACTGGGCTATTAAGGCATCACTGATGAACATTTAGGCTGCAGAAGTAGGGCACCGAAAGGACATTATCAGTTGCATGATGAGAAGCGCAGCGTTCACCTCGAATACCACCGTGCACCGCTAGATGGCGACAGATTTAAATTTCCATGTCCTGATGATGGTGTATTTGATTATTCCGCACACCATCACTGCACTGTAGTCTTGGATAAGAATCATGACAGCTAAACGGGCTTAATACGCGTAGGTAAGGAGAAATAAAATTAAGTTTTCAATTATTTTCATATCAAATATGCTCTACTCACGCGTATTATTGTTTGTCGTGGTAGAGAACAAGGTGGTTAGCGAACGTTAGCTTGTGAAGATTGTGGCCTATTTAGCAGAGTGGCTGAGGAAGCTAAAGCCAGTTATCACTGCTAATAAGTAAGGGAAAGTTGTGTTATGTGTCACATGTGTCGTTTAGTGTGAGCTTAAATTTGCTGTTGAATGCCACATATAAGGAGGTACCGCAGCTGTGAAGATGCAGTTGCAAACGAATGTTATATCAAAAGAGAAAGACCAATGTTTGCAGCACATTGCTAGTGGTTAGCTCACTAGCTTCAAATAGGCCGTAAATGCTCGCGAAGTAGGTGCGTGCATATTGGAACTTCCGTTCTGGGCCTTCAAAGTAAAGTCCCAAGTAATGCGCTTTATATTGCAAGGTTGCGGAAAAATACGAGTTCGTAAGGTTCAGACGAACTACACGGTTTGTTTTTCAATGAGAATGGTAAATACTTAAAAGCCTGTTCCGGTATTGTTTACTTAAAGCGTTGAGGAAGCTTTTAATTTGAAGACGCCGTCGCCTGTCTTCCCGTGTTTTCTCCTGCTGTTGTTATGAATGTTTTTGAGGTTTGACGAGCGTAGCAAGCTAGCTAGCTAGCGACTTAAAGCCACTTAACCAAAGCGACACAGAGGGTGCGTTTGCATATGGTACTAAGTGGCTGTCAGCGTGTGTTAAAACCCTGACAGATATTTACCGGCCCCGCTGTTTCATTGTTCAGTTTATGTTAGGAACAGCGTCAAACCTGTAGCCAAAGTGCAGCGGTAGCTAGCTTTTTGCCAGGTTGAGCTCAAGTGATTGTCACGTTAGTCAGCCATCTAATCAGAGTGCAATGTAACTCCGAATATAGGCAACATCGGCGTAATACAACAGTATAATGTACTGTGGTGGCTGATTGAAATAATCTATTCTCGATATGTAGCTGTGTTTGTAAGAAATATGCCTATCTTATGGTTTGACGGTGTAGGTTTATCACTTTACATATACTTGTAGTTCTTTTAAAACATTAGAAAACAGAGTTTAGAGTTTAAATTAGAATATATACAATCATAACTGCTACACTTGCATGAAGGCAAAAAAAATGGAGGAAGAAGGGCAGAATGCAAGCGTACCTGTGCACGTCAAAACACAAGCATGTAAACATACAGACGGCGGCATGCTTCATGTGTTCACATGCTCAGAAACAAAAGAGACTGAAAATAAGCACAACAACTTTGAACTGAGACGCCAAACTGGCCAATTTCTACAGATCAGTAAAGATACAGCTTATCTTTTTCTTTATGCTTTTAGATTTAAATAGTCTATTGTTCGTGGTGTAGTGTAAATCTTTCTTCTCATGGTTTCATAGTTTCACTCCGCAATTGGAAATACACGTTTTTTAAGGTAGTCAGACACCCCCCCCCCCCCCACACACACACACACACACACACACACACACACA